CAAAAAAAAGGCAAATGAATGAGAGTAAGTGACAGAAGTGCATGAATAACCAATACAGCAAGCATGAGAACTGGTGAATAATAAGAAAGACGTGATGGAGAAAGATGAATGAATAGAGAGAGTGTGCAAGTGATAAAATGAGCACTTGAGCAAGAAACAACTTGAGAGACAGACAAGCAAATAAGAGACAGATGAGTTAGACTGAAAAGTAAGAAGGATAATCCACAGATCACCCATGGGATACAGGAGGATTTTTTGAGTAAAACAGGATAGATGGAAAGCTCCCATTCACCCCCTGGATCAACTAATGGTTAAACTCTAGATAGACACTAGTCTAGCCATAAATCAGACCTTACCTCTTCTCCCAACCCCACGTCTCATGTGAAAGAGAGTGATTGGCAGATGTCCTTATTTCCTGCATGAAATCCACAAAACACTGCATATTAACTTCCTCTCAGAAAGCTGTTAGGCCAGCACCATCTACCTCCCAGTTTACCAAAGCACAGGAGAAATAGTGGTTGATGGAGATTTATACAGACTTACTAACATGCAGTCTCATGGCTGGAGGAAAGTCTGTTAAACTGGCAATCTGAATGTGCCTTTATATTTCAAGATAGGATTAAAAAAAGATGTTTGTACATTTTGGGACTCATTCTTTTTTGTGGTCCCTATAGGTAAGAGATAGGATTTCACAAAAAGTGTGGGTTGGCTTCAGAGTTGTAAGCACATTTTCTTCTTTTGTGGTTTCAGAATCCTTAATGTTCTAATCCTTTAATATGAAGTGAAATATTTTGAGAGAGGAATTTTGAGTTTGTAGAAAAAAAATATCAAAGATTATTTCTTAAGTTTTCCAACTCTTCATCATGTTCTGGCTTGGCTAAAGTTCTTTTCTTTTTTGGTCTAGAAAATTCATACAAATAGGTGAATTAATTTTTTTTCAGCTGTAATAGATGGCTAGTTTTTTTTCCCTTTAGTTAACTGTACAACACTGGAAAGCACTAAAAGCATCTAAATTAATAGATTGCTATGTTCTAGCCAACCTAGCAGTTTGCAAGCATGCAAATGCAAGTAGATAAATAGGTACCACTTTGGTGAGAATGTAACAGCGTTCCGTGTGCCTCAGCGTATAGTCATGCTGGCCACGTGACCATGGAAGTGTCTTCGGACATGCTGGCTCCCTCGGCTAGGAAACGGAGATGAGCACTGCCCCCTAGAGTCGGACATAACTGGACAGGAGAAATCTTTACCTTTTGATAGGAGAATATAAAAATTAGCACTGCTTGTAAAATTATTGTGTTTACCCAAAAGGAAGACAATCCTGCATTTAAATCAACCCCCCAAAACAGAAGAGCAGACAGGGATAACAGTGATAAACCGAAACACAAATCCTATCTGGTCTAATGCCAAGCTTTTTTTACTTTGTCTCATTTTCGTAGAGTTCTTTTTTTCATTAAGAAAGAATTAATATCCCCCTTTCAGACATTTCATCATCTTTTAAATAAAAGCCTGATTCAGGCAATTAATTCGTCTCTAGTACTCACTTTGTGAACAGAATTAAAAGGGTCCTCTCCTCAATGAGTGTGGTTGCTTGCAAATTTACTGATGTGCATTAAACATACTCCAGTACAAAGGTAATTATTTTAGAGATTAAATAACATCTTTTCAAGCAAATGTTGTAGTTTATTTGTTAAAAGCCAACATAACTCAAGCAATTATAAATATACATAAACTATTAATTATGCAATAGTTTATTTCAAGCAATTGTTTATAAAGTACTTTTTTCTAATGTATAGTAGCTAATAAAGCTTTGTGTTTTGAAAATTATTCAGAAGAAGTGGTTTGAATCTCATGTGAATACATTAGAATTCCCCTGTAAATTAAAGCACTCAAAGCTTTTTTCAAGCTTCTACTTGACCCTGAGAAGAGTTGGTACTCTTCTAATGAATAGAATCATTAAAGTAATCTTTAATAAAGCTCTGAAAGCAAAGGGATCTGCTTTCAAACTTGGGAAAATAGTAAATAAATGAGAAATTCTATGTTCACATGAGATCCAAAACACTTTGTCCAAATCATCTTCATAACATGCATATGTACTATTTGTACATATTATGTACTATTTTCTCATAATGCTGTTTATTTATAGAGATAGTTGAAATCCAAATTTGATTGGATTCCCCCTGAATTAAAGGCCTTTAAAGAGAAACATTAGCAACACAGAATTAGGTGTTGGAATGGATATGGAAGAACTCTCATAAAAGGCAACTTTTGCTCACTGATTATTAATCAGGATTAGTGTCTGTACTTCATCTTTCAACTGAATATTTAAAGATCGAGAATCTAGAATGACCATGGACTCAGCTGTTTTCACAGCCACTGCCTGAATCAGTGGCTTCACATCAGATAAAGCATAAATATTCTCTTGTTAGGCTTGACAGTTCAGTGTTTTTAAGCTTCTCAATCTACTTACACATTTGGAATTTCTTGGTTCAAGAATTAGCTGTGGATGCATGTCAGGAAACTTCCTTATACATGGCCTCGACTCAGCCATCTGAGAATTTTTTAAAAAATAGCCACTATGGGTGGTTGGTAAAAAGGCAAAGTTGTGAATACAAGATCAGCATTTGAAGAATTTGAATCTCCAGTGCTTGAGACAGAGTTGAAAGTCAACCTTTACAGTAACTTCTAGATTGGTCTTCTTCAGATTAAGCCTCAGAAGAGTTTAACATAGATAGAAGTTCTACCCCAAATTATTTATAAGGCCATTTTGCATTCCAGCCACTGTGTAAAAGGACTAGGACAGTGATGGCGAACCTTTTAGAGACTGAGTGCCCAAACCCACTTATTTATCATTGGGTGCCGGGTGGGCGTGGCCACTGGGTGGGCGTGGCTACAATGGTCATGGCAGACTGGGTGGGCATGCCTAGAGTGGGCATGGCCACCTTGATGTTGCTCGTGGGGAGGGACGCCTGTGGGGCCAGGCAGGGTTGGAGGAGATCCAGGGGTCTCTGGCAGGTGGGACGGTGGGCAGGAGGCTCGTCCTGCGGGGTGAGGTGAGGTGAGGGAGGGGGCAAAGCAGGGGTTCCATTGCCGCAGGGCAAGGCAAGGTGAGGCAGGGGCTGGGATGGCTGCTGCCTGACACCATCGCCCCCCCACACACAGCGAGCACATGGGGGCCAACTGTGTCCGTCAGCAGCCATAGCCTGCCAGCCCCTCAACCGGCACAATCTGGGGCTCTGCAGCCCGCTGTGAATACCGGGCCAGCTCTCCAGCAGCAGGTGGAGTAGGGGAGAGAGGAAGCATGTGATGCAGACCGTCGGATGCACCTATTCTATCCCATCTGTTTTTGCTTGCGGTTGGAGAGCAGGTTGCTGCTGGTCATCTCCTTGGCCCCCCTCACAGATCTTGCCCTTGCCCGCACGTGGAGCCTGTTCCCCTCGCACACCTGACACACCTTAGCCCTGTCTCGGGCCCCCGCCACCAGCAGCTCATGCAGGTCCATTAGGCTACCACCGCTACCTGGAACACCTGGCCCGCCCAGCACAAAGGAGGTAAAATGGCCGGCTAGGAAGCCCCACTTAGAGGTGGTAGAGCACGCCAACGTCCAGCAAGCCAAAGGCCACCCCAAGCAGGGAAAGCCAGATCTCCATCGGCGCCATGGGCCCCCAGTCCCAGCTAGGCTTGCGTGCCTCCCCCCATCTCTTCTGGGCCTGGGCAGCCATGATGCCAGTGGGGATCTGGCTTTCCCCGCTCAGGGTGGCCTTTTGCCTGCTGGCCCTGGGCGTGCTCTACCACTTCTAAGCGGGGCTTCCTAGCTTACCGCTTCACCTCCTTTGTACTAGGTGGACCTGGAGCTCTGGGCAGCAGCCTAGTGGACCTGCGCAACGTGGCTGTTTGCCACCGGCCGTGGCCATTTGCCGCCTTGCGTGTCGCACCCAATGCTGCTGCAATGTGGCTTGGCCGAAAGCAGCCGTGGAACAAGTGGAACAGGTTCCCCCCTCACCTGCCCATTCAGCTACAGCTTTGGTGGCTCTGTAGGCAGAGCTGCAAAGTTCTCTTCTCTGACAGAACAGAGAACTTCGCAGCTCTGCCTACAGAGCCACCAAAGCAGCAGGTGGAGTGCTGGAAGCTCAGGGAGGGAGGGTGCTGAAGTGGGCAGTCGGGCCATTGGCAAGAGCAACGCGGTTGAGCAGAAAGCGGGGCAGGTAAGGAAAGAAATCCTCACTCCCCACAGAAACTGCCTTTCTTTCCTTACCTGACTCCCTTGTGCTGTTTCTCCTTTGCGATCCGCCGCTGTGTGCAAGGAAACAAAGGAAGGGTTTTTTGGGAAAAAAGGTCAATCAAATCAATTCCAACTTCACGATCTTTCATAAGAAGTTGGAATTGATTGATTGACCCTTTCCCCCCCTAAAAAAACCTTCCTTTGTTTTCTTGCATGCGGCAGCGGCAGATCGGCACGGGGCTGGAAGTCAGGTAAGGAAAGAAAGGCAATTTCTGGGGGGAGCGAGAATTTCTTTCCTTACCTGCCCCAGTTGTTCTGAGGCCGCTTTCCGCTCAACCGCGTTGCTCTTGACAATGGCCCGACCGCCCACTTCAGCACCTTCCCTCCCCAAGCCTCCAGGGCTCCACCTGCTGCTTTGGTTGGCCTGCTGGCCTCCACCTGAACACCCTGCCCATTGCTGCCCAGCACAGCCACCCCGGGACTGCAGGGGCTGGCCTGGCAAGGGAAGGGCATGCGCCCCACCCTCCCGCCACCAGGCAGGGTAAGGTTGCTGCGCCCACCCCTGCCCAGATGCCCTCGCCTCCCCCAAGCGTTTTTTTTACTAACCTGCCTTTCAGCTACATTCCGTTTCACCGTTCACTTCTCATCCTTCACCACGTGTTTGTGGGACTATCGGTAAAAAAAAAAGAAATTTCCATCAGACTTTCTAACTTCTTGAGATCTCATGAGAAGTTAGAAAGTCTGATGAAACTTTTTTTTTTACCGATAGTCCCATAAACACATGGTGAAGGATGAGAAGCGATTGGAGAAACGGAATGCAACTGAAAGGCAGATTAGTAAAAAAAAACACGCTTGGGGGAGACGAGGGCATCTGGGCGGGGGCTGGTGCGGCAACCTTACCCTGCTCGGCTTTGGCAGATGTCTGGCAGGGGGAGGGAAGCAACTGGTCTACCACCATGCTAGCGCTGCAGCGTTGCTTCTCCACAGGCCCCGCCCCACCCCCGCATGGAGTGCCCTGCTAATGCCGCTCCCCCCACCCCTACGTGGCACCTTTCCAGCTCCAATGCGTCACTTCCTCCGCCGCTGTGTGGGACTAAAAATAAAGTTCAATCAATCAATTCTAACTTTGCAAGATCTTTTTTTTCCCTGCGAGAAGTTGAAATTGATTGATTGAACTTTTTTTTTGCACATGGTGGCAGAGGCCTAAAGCGAAAAGGTTTTATAAAACTCAGCTTGCCTGGGGAGATTTTGATGCAGGTTGCTCATGGACAGGACTGAAGGCCTAGGACTGGGGCGATGGCGTGCGTGCCCACAGAGAGGGCTCTGTGTGCCGCCTGTGGCACGCGTACCATAGGTTCGCCACCACGGGACTAGGACATAGCTTCTGAATTTTAATTTAATAGAATGCATTTGTACACTTACAAGTATACATAGACACCATCTAAAGTTTCATAAAATCGGGTCCTTATATGCTAGCATAGTATGAGAGCCCTTTGATTCATAATTTATTTTTGACAACGTGTCATTGCAATTTTTAATTTTTCTTGTCTTGGCTGAATCTTTGGATTAATATAAGCCTTGCCGGAGCTAAAATACTTCCTTTAGATCATTGAATAAATAAAATATAAAGCAACTTTTTAATTGGAGAGAAGTATCTAATATGGCTTTTTTTTCATTCTAACAGACATAAAAGATAAAGAAGATGCAACATGGTATTTCAAAACGTTGCAGTTGGCACTGGCTTTAGCAATTATCCGCTCCAAGCCACCAGATAAAAGCAGCAAAGAATATGCAGTGCACCTGGCCAATAGAGTATCTGAACAGGATTCCAAATGGAAAATGAGAGTTAAAGCATTAGAAATGGAAGTTCTTCATTTAAGGCAACAGCTCCTTTTGAATAAATGTTTTTCTGGAGTCAGTGTAAAAAACAGTAAGTTTCAAATATATTTCTAGTAATTATCTCTTTAACAGTAACTGTGTTATTCATATATGTGGGAAATTATGAATCGCCTTGCCATTAGTATTTGAGCTTAAAATGAAGTAAAGCGGAATAGATACAGCTAGACAGCATGGAAGACTGATGAGTTGCCCAAATCTCTTGCTGACTTCACTGCCTCTTTGAGCAGTAACAGCCTGCAAACTCCTCTAGGTTTTGGGATCACAACCTATTTTTGTTTTTGCTGTGTGTAGACCCGTGAAGCCTTGAATGTGCTCTCCAGAGGTTTTCCAAAAAGTGGCCACATAATTTTATTTTTTATGTAATAGAGGAGGGTTACTATTAAACATATGATTATATCAATTAAATTAAATTAAACTGGTCAAGTTTTTCCCTGTCCTTATCTGCATCTTTGAATTCACACAACTGCCCTAAAAGCCAGCCAGGTTTTGGTAATACACACCACGTCGCTCCTCTTGTTTGTGGTCTGATCACAAATAAGGATAGCTTCAATAGCAACACCCAAAAGCCTGCACTCTGGAGATCTGTTGACTGAGAGATAGGGTTAAGAACAGGGTCTAAGATGCTGGGGCCATATTCCTTAAGAGCCTATTTGTTGACTTCACCATTCTTTTCAATAATAGAGAGGCTTACATGTTACTCCATTAATGGAGAAATACAGAAAATGGTCATATCTTTGTTAGACGTAGATGACACTTGCAGAAAAAGCAGTCATTTCCTCTAAGTAAATTACACTATGACTAAGAAAACTAGATAAAACTTTTAATATGATTTTGTAATTGTTCAGTGGCATTGATTGAAAACAATGGAAGCATTAGGAGCTTTTGAAGCTTAATGTAATATGTTTAGAAATTTTGACTCCCCCTCAGGTCTCTTGATTTAGAATCCAGTTCTCCATCCATTATAATATACGGGTGTCTATAGTTTTCTTCTTGTCTTTCAGGGATTATGCCACTTACAGGCCAGTCTGTGGCAGCTTCTAATACAACAGACTGCAGTGACCTTTTTGAAGACTCTGGGTGTGATATCTCAAGTGATTGTACAGAAAACCTGCCTAGCTTAAGCCTCAGGGGACATGATTTCAACAGTTTTCCCCCTCCCATTTTGTCAAATGTACTTCCCACATTGACTTCCAGCAAGAATCAATCTGTGATGCTGCACATGCAGTTCCTACAACATTTCATTGAAATAAGAAATCTGGCAGAGTCCAATAGTATGAAAATGGATTTGATGAAACTTGGAAGGGATTGCTCCGTGGTGTCCAATTCTTTTTTCCAGTTGCTCGATGGTCTGGTTACATCATATAACCTTCCTGAACAACCCTTTCCAGATTTTATGACTCAGGCTGTTTTTATCATAGCTAAATTATTAAATGATGCTGATTTTTCTTGTCGGATATTGGGAAGGTGTTTAAAAAAGTTGGAAGACTCTATGGAAAGACTTGTACAAATTATTTTAAACAGCAGCTATCTCAACAGAGTAAGTAAAATACATTCCAGGAATTACTGTATTTCTAAGGTTGTAAGCATAATGACCATTCAGTTGTATGATACTTCTTTATGCAATGTTAAGCATTTTACATTGCTGGAAATTCTGAGCTAACTTTTTGCATGAATGAGAGCACGGAAGGCAATGAGTTTGTGAATAATGTACAACCCATATACTGTATGTCTGAATCAGGCAATCAGTGCTCAAGAAGTACTCCATAAATATTATGCATGCATTTTGAAGATTAGCCTGTGTCATCTAAATTCAAACATTTCATAGTGCAAGAGAATCCAGCTCTTTCCTACTAAATGAGCTCAAGGGGTGATAATATATCCAGGTGGTTTGGCTTTCTAATAAGGACAGAATTTCAAAGAATGTCAGCATTTGAAAATACTTTATAATTTAAGGGATGTTTTGGAACATAGTGGAAATCTGAAATATAGAGAATCGAACAGAACAGAACAGAACAACAGAACAGAATAGAATAGAATAGAATCTGGAAGGGACCTTGGAGGTCTTCTAGTCCAACCCCCTGCTCAAGCAGGAGAACATATACCATTGCAGACAAGTGACTGCCTAGTCTCTTCTTAAAAACCTCCAGTGATGGAGCGCCCATGATTTCTGAAGGCAAGCTGTTCCACTAGTTAATTGTTCTAACCGTCAGGAAATTTCTTCTTAGTTCAAGACTGCTTCTCTCCTTGATTAGTTTCCATCCATTGCTTCTTGTCCTGCCTTCAGGTGCTTTGGAGAATAGCTTGTCTCCTTCTTCTTTGTGGCAATCCCTGAGATATTGGAACACTGCTATCATGTCACCCCTAGTCCTTCTTTTCATTAAATTAGACATACCCAATTCCAGCAACCGTTCTTTATATGTTTTAGCCTCCAGTCCCCTGATCATCTTTGTTGCTCTTCTCTGCACTCTTTCTAGAGTCTCAATGTTTTTCTGACATCGTGGTGACCAAAACTGGATGCAATATTCCAAGTGTGGCCTTACCAAGGCATTATAAAGTGGTATCAACACTTCATGTGATCATTAATGCAGCATAGAACTGTGCTGGCTTTTTGGCAGCTGCAGCACACTGCTGGCTCATATTTAAGTGATAGCTCTTTTTGATGTTAAATATTTACAGATTAACTATTTACATAATAGTTAATATTATGATTTTCAGCTATAATAATTGAAAACCCTATTAAATGAGATCATACTAATAGTGTTTAAGAAACTTTGAAAAAGTATTTTATAGAACATTTATATGACATTTATTAATCTCAAATGTAAAATTACCTGAACATAAAAGTTTTACAAGATTTTAATTAGATCTTGGCTTTGCTTTGTTTGGAGTACTAAAAGTCGGTGATCAAAATATAATATCTAAACTTCAAATCACAATAGCAGGACATACCAGCTAATTTTAGATAATGAGACTTTAAAGAGCCACTTTTGTCCTTGATTGTGAAATGATAGAAAAGTATTTTTGATTCAAAAAATTATAGATTAGATACCTGTCATTCCTCTTGTGGCACCTTAAATAAAGGAAATGGAGAAACAAGTTGCATAACTATACAGAACATTTTTCTGGACTGGTGAATAGTAAAAATATGGACATAGTAGTACTCTTAAATTGCCTTCTTCAAAAGTCTTTGTTTGATTTATATTTTCAATTTAAGATCACTTCTATCAAGAGAGACCTCTTAATATATTCAGAATAACAAATTGTTAAATCAGTTATTTATAAATAGCACTTGTTTTTAGTGGCAAATATGGCCAGGAATATGTAATTTATCCTAGGAGTATAATTTAAAAACAAACACAGATTGTCGCTGTAAAATTGATTTATTAAGAGTATCCTTTCAATCACTCTTTCTTTCTGATAACTACCTTCTTAGAGTCAAACTGTTTATTTTGTGAAGAATTTAGATTTGATATAGCTTGGAATCTGCTTCCTAGGTGTATTTAAAATAATTATTTTTAAGCAGTTGGGTTGCAACAATATTTGTTATCAAATGTTTCAAAGATTATGGGTAAACTTGCAAAATCACTTCTGAAGAGATTTACCTATTCATAAAATGACTGCCCCAGAGAACATATCCAGGTACAAAGGACTGATGATCCAGACAGCTATTTGATTTTGATATGCAATTTTAAAATAATTGAAAATTATTGTTGTTCATCGCAGTCAGCCAGATTTTCAGACTGGGTTTGGTATTTTTGTCTACCTATGGAGTCCTTACCACCTTTTGCAATTGACTGATGGTGAATTTGTCAATGTCAATGATGTTCAAATAGTGTTCCAGTTGTTTTAGGATTGCACCCAAGGTGCCTATCATCATCATCATCATCATCATCATCATCATCATCATCATCTTAGTTCTTCCTGCTGCAGAACACTCCTAGGTCTGTTTACTTTTGCCAATTTTCTGGGCCAGTGAATACAGTTCCAAACAACCATAGGATTGTAACCATTCCATCCTTTTTTTCCCCTAAGAAAGCTTATAGAGGCCATTTTGGGGCCTAGAGTATTCTTTGAAGTAAAGAGGCTTCCTAAAGATTTCCCATCTTTTCACACTCCTCTGGGTGTGAGTGTGTGTTTATGCCTGGTGGGCTGGATACTTAATGCCAAGGAAAGCACCTGATGGCCATTGATGTTTGGAGTCGTTTATATTCTGAGCACCAGGCTGAGACCTATGAAATATTATATAAATGAAAATATTGATGAGTATGTGTTAAGGTCTTTTTTTCTTGTAAATATGTAGTTAGAGACACCCATATATGTTTCAGTTTATGAAAATAAAGATAATCACCAATGAGTTGGATGATTCCAATAGTGCCACTGGATTTTCAGTCTTTCAGTCTGAAGTTGCAGATCAGTAGTTTCTCAATAAAATTTGAATATAATAGAACTTGTTCAATGAAGAGGTCATTTATACTTCAAGTATATATCTTTTTAATCTGGTTTGCAATCAGTTTCTGCATTATGTTTATAAATGACATGAATATGTTGTAGTGGTTAGTAAAGCAAATTGTTTAATACTAAGCTGAGTATGAAGGAATTTGCCTCCTTGTTAAAGCTCTGAAATTAAAAGCCCCAGGTGTTACGTATTCCCTTGGAATCATATGCTAACAATAACTTGCAAGATTTAAAAACAAAATATGGCTGAATTGTATCTGGTAAGTCATGGTAAACATACCTCTTGAGTATTTTTGAAAGCCAATAAAGTTCTTTAACTTTTTGGGAGCCACTAGCGCAGGCTAGATTTCCTTTAATCTGTTGGCTGGGGATAAAAGCAATAAAACATCAGAATTTGATGGGGGGCACTGGGGTTGCTGAAAGTTGCATTAACCTTTTATTCTTTTATTCTTTATTCTTACTTCATTTGAGCTAGAGAAAAGAAACCAGAGAAATCTTGTTTGATTAGGATCATGATTCTTGGAATTTAAATGTAAATAGGTTTAGGATTATTTATTTAGGAGTACATTCACTAAATAAATATAGTAAATAAAAATAACATATTTACACCAGTAAACTTTGAAATGATTACTGTATACTCTGCTCCATGTTTTTTCATTATATTTTTCATCTCTGTCACGATCTAGTCTAGTGCTTAACATTTAAAAGATACAGTTCATTTTCTTCCCAGTTTTTAAAAAAGGGCATGGTGATTCTTTCTTCCTGTATTTCATGAAATTGGAAAGTAGTTAAAGTTATTCTTCTTCGATTTAATTTCAATGATTTATAGAACATTAGAAGCTAAAAATGATTTAACTTTATTAATTTTGAAGATCTTGTTTCAGTATCTATTTAAAAGAATATGGCTCCTTGTACTGAAGAGTGACAACCTTGAGAACAATATTTCTGCAAAGAAAACCTAATGCTCAATGTAGTTAACAAGGAAGTGTCTTTGACTGTTGACCCTGTATAAAAAATGCAAACCAGGGGAATATTTCTAGTTGTGCTTTTAGGCTTTGCTGATTTAATCTAGAAAATATGTTAATTTAATCAAATTCATCCTACTTGTGTTAACAGGCAGTTTCTCTCCATATAATTATTAATCATATTCATTCTAATTAAGACTATACAGCCTTTTACATCTTTGTATTGCAGAAACAAAGAATAACTTTATCATATTTTTAGGAGAAGTGGTTGGAAGTTCTCCTTCAGTTATCACCACCTTATCAATATGGCCAATATCTGGAATCATAGAAATTGTAAGCCAACAGCACAGAAATAGGAGTATGTGATTAACCCTTTTTTAGATTATATATAATGTAAGCAAAATATATGGTGAAATCATGGTTCACACCCTTCGTTGGCCAGACCCTTCGTGACCTTTAGACACTGACTATTTCTCGACCTCATGTTGTTATTGAAAAAGTAAATGAGGTTGTTCCAGGAGATAATACTGTTTTTAAATGTTAGGAGCATCACTTTTTGGAACAATGTTTGAAATACTTGTTTTTTTTTAATAGCAGATATCAGCTCCTCATGACATACCTTGATAGAACAAAAGATAGAGTGTCTATTCCCTCTTAAAACTCATTTGCACCATAAATTTTGATTGGCTAAATCAGAAGAAAAAGTAGTCTTACATAAGGCAAGATGCTAAATATATTTCCAAGATTTATTATAGTTCTTGGGCTAAGCATTTCCTTCGAGTTCCAGATTAGGAGAGATCGGAGATTTTCTCCTCGCTCTAGTACCAGAGACACTTTGGCGTCTACAGGTTGCATTGCTGAGTGCCTTCAGAGTCTCATGGTTAAACCAGGGAGAGTTCCTTGATTATAGCCAGTAGAATCATATTCTATTTATCATCTTTTGTTGGAAAACAATTTGGTATCTCAAAGGGGTAGCATTTCTGGCGTACATAAATCTAAAATATTTGTTTACATGTTGAAGTTACAAAAAGGAATACTAGGAAGGTATTTCTATAATTTAATGCACCTGGCGGCATTGTTTGTCTTAGCTGTAAAAGCAAACATCTGTGAAGTAAAC